CGATAACGAAAATTTAACATTTCAAATTCTTGACGAGAAAGGATTTCGTCTGTCTTCAACAACGATACTCCGTGAGTGACGAGTTGCCATCAAGATTTATCCTTCATCATTGTTTGCTAATGTAATTCTACCGCACTTTGAAAGGACGTCTTTGCTGCGGGAAAAGCAGTTGATTACGCTGCGGAGGCTATCCATGATGCTACTTCATTTACTCAGACACTAATATAACCAAGAAACATACGTTGTCAATACTATCGAGTATATCAAGTGAGGAATCATTCCTCTTATACGAAATTTCAAATAAGGATAATCAGCTCCCAATATATCGTTCATGGTGAGCGCGACGTAATTTTACGGCTCAAATGCACTGGTGACTAGGAGCAGATGAGCGGCGCCATGAAATTTGGTCTTCGATAAGCCGTTCGTTGCGTCTAGTAAGAATAAAACAGGCTTGACTTTATCACAAATGTACCACTGAATATGGACAGATGACTGTTTAGTAGCTCATTCTGGATATATACTGTAAACAGTGCCTGCTCACATCCTATACATCTTTACTTCACCCTATCGTGTAGAGCAATGCTTTGGCTATGATTTTTTTTGACAAGTTAGTTTCTTAATATTCTTGAAATTGTTGTTTTCGGGTTTTTAAATTACTATAATTTGACCGGTTCAATTTGTTTTTTTAAGACAATTGAAAATCATTCAAACTTAATAGGCTTCCGAAAATGAGGCGGCCACTTACCGATATCATTCCGCAGGTTAATTATTCCGCATAGGCAAAATATCGATGTTTCACCAGACTCTAAGAATCATTGGATCCATCTTCGAAGATCACTTTCTGCGTGCAAATTAACAACCAAGAGTGATGCGAATAAATCTTTAAATGAAAAATTTGCTGTGTTATAGTAGGCGGATAACTGTGCACCGTATGACCCATAGGGATACTTTGAGTGATCCGAAACATCGAACAAGTTGCTGATTTTTTGACTATGCGGAACAAACCGTCGGTGATTTTGCTTTTGGAGAACAAATGAAACATTATCTGTTGTTTCGAAAGTTGAAAATGACAGCGGAAGACGAAACAAAACTACAAAGTGCACATTTTACTTAATAATAGGAGCCAAACTGTGCGAAAAATTAACATTTTTTGCTGATAAGTGGGAAATTTCGATCGGTTCTGCATTGTGCTTGTTGGAATTTTATAGCAGTTCATCAGCTGTTTAGTTTTCATACAAATCTTTCATTTGCGCATAAAATTAACCTATTTGCTATGGGTTCATTAACAAATTGCTAATCTTTGATATCGACGGTTAGAATAACAAATCACCTGTCAATTCTCCGGTTCTGCTAGACGTAGTCTCACTGAACTCTGCTTCTCATAGGCTTATTTAACTCTGCTTCTAGTAGTTCTATTGTATTTTAGCACCTGTTGTGCACGGATGAAAGCCGAATAACTTTGCAGGGCCAAACAAACGCTTTTTCGGATAGTTATTTGTACCGAAAAACTTGTGGCCTTCTTGTAGCGAACTTCGACGATTGTCGAACCTCAGGATCAAGCAAACACATGTTTCTAAGTACGATAGCGGCGTAGCGCATAAGTTGGGAAATAGAAGCAAATTTAAGTATTGGTAGAATGCGATTTTTACGAGATTAGTAGAAATTTAAGTTTATGCGTTAATCTTTAACAAGCATTTAAAAAATTTAAAATTGTTGAGATCGTACAGACAGTGATAGAGTAAGCGCAGTCATCTGTAGCAGGTTGTTGATATGATGCACGGCTTTTCGCCATTTGTGCCTGGGTAGGAGCACATCATGTTCAGTTAAGGATTTCTTCCTATTTTTTTGATCTTTTACTCTGGCTAGTGTCACTATTTGTAATTGTCAGTACTATTTAGTAGAGTACTTTGGGTAATGGCCTGCAGTTGTTCCATCAGTATTTATAGCCAACATGTGCTAATACGTAACAGGTTTCTGATAGGTGTACAATTAATGGCCTGTAAATTTTTCACTGTTATTGCTTTGTTCACGGACTGTTTAAGATTCACTGCTACACACAGACCGTAGAAATGTGCTTCCCGCAATTCGTTCTGGTATGCAGTCATTTATTTTGAAGGTTCCTACTCTTTACGGAAGTGAAACTGCTGTTGTTGTGTGATCGTCATCAAAGCAGGCAGGGGCTTACGTAGAACTGCAACGCAGATTTATGATGCCTGAAAGCTTCTGCAGATTCACATTTCTTTGTAGAGCAGTTTGAATCGCCTTGTACTGAACGTTGCTCATATTGCTCATCGCACAGTAGTAAAGCTATGGTGCTGTTGTTGTTATTATCATCTGGAGTATCAAGGTCAAGGACCGAGTGCGCATATTACTGATGTATGATATACGGCGCTGAATATTATCTAGAAGGCAAAGGTAGCATATTTTGGTGTTAAATAGTTCGGCTTAATTAAACCACATACTCAGCATTGCATCACTTTCACTGCACAGCAGTCTTTGAAGGTGTTTGTCCCACAGTTAACGTTTCATCAATAATCTCAGGAAGGACCGGGTTATTTCGCATTTCGCTCATTCCGTCCACACCATTAAGCAGCTTACTGAACTATGCTAAATGTAGCATGTCCCATGATTTGTGGTGCCTGAGATTTGTCATGTCTTTCAGCTCGTTTCTTGTTAGGTTACTGTCCCATGATATCACACAATACCATTTAATTCTTTGTTTCTTTCTGTGACATTTCTTTTTTCTGTTCTTTTTATTTCTTTTTGTATGCTGAAAACTGCGTTAATCGGTGATGCCATTCAAACAGTAAAATCTCAAATGATAAACAGTAGAAAAGTTAACTTGCTAAATTAGTGCTTGCGGAAATCTTATTGTATATTCACAATAAATCTAAATAAATTTCTTTTCATATCACTTATTTTAACTTTACGTAGCAGGATGAGGAGGATGTTTGGGGACCATGGTGAGGTCTCGCACAAAACTTAGCCACCTACTCCTGATGGTGAATATTGCTCTATAATCTAGACATTTAAATATTTTTCCCCTAAGCGTTGCAGTTAGTGGAAGATAGAACTCTCAGATATGTTATGTACCTGCAAAACAAGCATATATGTTAAGTAACTCATTCGCAGGCAGTGTGACAGCAGTGCAGTAGCGCGACTCAGCCACGGGTGAAACGATACCACAAAGTTTGAAGGAAGAAAAAAGGAAAGTTTGTCACCATAGGAATTTCGGTCTTCCTTACGCTCTCGTGATTGAGGATCATTTGTGGTATCTTTCAATTCATGTAGCCTATGATGCAATGCTGATCTACGTTTCTGTGGCATTAGCCACAATCACTTTTTTAAAAATGTAATCTACATCTCTGTGGCGATCATAGTGTGTGGCCTTTAGTTGCCTTTTCACGGAGTTGTTCTCGTATCTACCTCAGAAAGAAGAAAGACGCGTGACCCAGTTGGGGCTCGAACTCGCAACCGGCGTCCTCTCGGTTCTTAATCAGACGCTCTGCCGACGGAGTATCGTCTGTCTTATAGAAATAAGGTCTTTCTGTCATGGGCGCAAAATGGACTCAGTGTTTGCTCTGATGATGATATGCTGCGTGATTGCTCTCTGAAATGTTGGCAGAGAATAAAGTTTTCTGTTGCTGAATGTCGCTTGTGCCTGTTACCACTAAACTGGAGAACTTTTATTCTATTTGAGTTCGTATTTAAAGCGTTGGCATTGAATCAATGAGTTTCTTGAGATTATCATGATTATTTATTTTTTGTTTACTTTCATATTTTTTATGCATCTGCTGGAAAGTAAGTTTTTTGATAATTTTAGGAAAGCAGTAGACATTCAGATTGAACTTGAAGCGATATCGCACGATTAACCGATCTTCCGCTTTATATTCAGTCACTTTTATTGAGCAGCTTATTTTCAGTGATTTCACAGGATGACCACAAATGATAAGTATCTTCCGTCGTACGAGGAGTTGACGGTACCTCAGGAGATGGTCGTATCGAGCCCTGCGCTCCGCGCTGGGGTTTTTCATTTAGGGAAGTACTGCGAAATGGAAAGCAAGGTTCGTTTTGACTCGCCTGTGATATTTATGTTTTGGCAGCTTTGGATTTTCTGTAGGAGTTTATTCTGTGCCGCAACGAGTACGAAGATCCTCGAAAGTGCCTGGCGGAAGGTAGACATGTAACCGCTTGCGGAGTGAGGTTTTTCCAGCATGTCAAAAAGCTGTGCGCCGATTCGTTCACCGACTACATGAACTGTGTCGACAACAGCTCGGAAAAACTGCTATTGGCACCGTAAGTTGTCCGAAGCAGTCTTATTGCATGGGTTTCATGAAAAATTTTAATTTACACCTAGAAGGCATGGTCGATAGGACCAGTTTCTGACAGCAGACCTAGTAGACCTCAGCAGCTGCTGAAACACCTGTGGTTACTGCGCATAATGAAGATAAGGTTACGTTAACCTTTAACAGTGATGTGTCAGGTGTGCTTAAAGATATATGGCCAGTGCGGTTAGACCATTTGCTGGTAGCCAGTTAAGCCAGTGCTTACTGTCGTCATTTTGTAGCGAGGAAACCGAGCGCGGATGATAAAGGGTTTGCTGGGCAGTACATTTGTAGAACAGAAAGATTTGCTGTCGATGAAGAATGCATGCCATCAAAAAACCGTCGACGCATCCACCGGTCAATTTTTGTTTACGCACTCAGTTCACCTGCTAATGTAACACTCAACTCGGCATGTTGGTAATGGTTCTCGACCGAGGTATTTTGTAGTATATTCATGTATAGCAGCATATCTAGAGGATACCAGCATGTTAAAAATAAAAGATAGCTTGATATTAAACATGCTTTTATTATTCTTAGGATAGCTCCTTGCCCAAGCTGTGAACAACAAGGTTATCCATTGTTTTGTGCCTAAGACTTATTGCAGTCTCTTTTTGAGCAGTGCACTTAAAAAGGTAATTTAACTGTGGCACAGCCTGTAAAAATTATCAAGGTGTTTTAGCCTGTTCGCAGTCATTTACCTGGTTGGGTAGGAATTCATTAGGATTGGTTAATTTTGGGAATAGTTAACTTTTCAATAAATTGCATAAATGCTCCTCTTTGCCTCACTTAACCTGGAACTACCTCCAGCTTATCAGGCGAAGCAGCGTTCTCGTCCGTGTATCAACCCAAATCTAATATATGACTTCGAAATTAATGGACGCCCTGGAAATATATAACGGTTCATTCGAGACATTAAAGCCTGAAAGAAGCAAGGTTCTTTAGAAAACTCATTAGGTGTTTTATGATATTTAAGGATAAGTCTCTTTTACAGTTCCAGAATCAAGAATTGGTAGCTACTGTCTGTTACATATTCCTAAATAAAGCAGATGACATTTTTCGTCGTATCGTCTGCCTTAACTAATTTGACCTATTGGATGTTACAAGGGATACTACATCCTACCGGTTCTTGTTACCATTTGCCGTTGCTTCTTATCCTGTGTAATGTCCGATGTAATTGTGGGGCAGTCTCAGTTTGATGGTTCGTTTGCAGTTTGCTGGAAAGTGCTGCTCAGCCCCATTGTAGTCAGTTCCTCTTTAATACACAACAACCATAAATTTTATTACCTACCTTTTAGCCTTTTCCAGCACACTATTAATCATGTTGATTGACCGCTGGTTGTACGGTTCCGATGAGTAAGAGTTTGTTTTATAAATTTTTTGACAGTGGATGTTGTTGCTGGTGTATTACACTTATCACAATAAAGAAAAATTATTGATCATGGCCAAGATCGGTTGAGGATGCTGACATGTTTAGTGGATGAACATCAAAAGATGTGTGAAAAATAGGATCATTCACTCGGGGCTTGTGGCCGGTCAAATATTTCAGGATAAGGGTATCACCAAAATTTGTACATTCATCTTTCTAAACAGATGTCATTTGTCTTGCATTTGCTATGCGTAAATGGTAGGTATTGATGGATACCTTATTTAATGGATTATAACGTTTGTCATAATACGATGTGTTGTGAATTCATTTCTTGTGTTTAGCTGTCGTCGATTCCAGCGTGTCTTTGATCGTTGTATGTTGGACAATATGAATATAGAGAGGCCGCGTATCGGTTACTATAGTGTGCCACATATCCACAAAACGCAACGACCGCCTGTTGATAAACAGGATTTCCCCGATTATAAATCGGAAGCTGACAAAGTCATCAAGGAATTGCCGGAAAATTATCCTATACGTAAAGATTATAAACGTTTCTATCAACCGCAAGTGAATCCTTTCATATAAAGATGCAGATATCTTAGTGTTGTTGATCATGTCATGTTGAAAGTGGTGTATTGGCTGAAAGTCATTTTTCGATACAGATGTGGAGATTTTCTTCTGTTTAAATCTGTTCTAGTTAAGTGAAAACCTGTATATTAATCAGTTAGGCGTGTGAATCTGTGCTATTTTAATTAAAATTCTAACCTGTCAAGATTTTTAAAGATATATAGGCAAGATCTTCGCTCTCTCTTCCAGAGAAACTTTTCTATTTGCGTTTTTCACAAAGCAGTGCGACAACTATTGGAAAATGAAATGATTCTAGTCTTCAAGTTGTAGATGTTTCGATAATGAACTCTGCTCACTGTTACCAGACTGGTTTATTTTGTACCTGTTGACCTATATAATTATCTACATTTTAATTCTCGTGCGTAACAAATGGGCAGGAATGCAGTTTTAATACGTACAGCTTTTAACCTCTACAACTAAAATTTTGACGGACGAAAAAAAAGTATAAAATTATCCATATTTAATTAGAATAATTGCTCAAAACGCTACCCTAATTTCACGTTAAATATAACCCGCAGAAGCTGAATCCAAAGCTTCGGGATCGTGTATAGGCGTAGCTAACCTTTTTGAAGATTTTGGCAATGAAGAATAGCTACCCCATTGGATTCCTCACCCAGTTTTTGTTCTTGTTCTTTTGAGGAGTGCACCATGAACGCAAGTCCACGCTCCTCCAACATGCTATCTTCCGCTTTCTGTCTCCACCGCTGAATAAATAAATTGACCGTCAGGTCATTCCAGCGTGTTTTTGGACGACTAATTAGACGTTGTTAGTTCAGC